CTGCACAAATTTACATTCACAACCCTAAGGCCACCCCCTACAGCTTTCGATGAGTCCAACTTACGAATCCTTTCCACCAACCTCTTCAAACAAAATGAAAGGTACGTCAACATAAAAACTTAGTTGCCTCAGGTCCTTCATGTTCTTATACGAAAGCAAACCCAGGATAGCAGATAAACAGTGTTTTGCATAGTAAGTCAACTATGCTACCATTGACACGGTTGATAAAGACACGCTAACTTCGCCACATTATAAATCCAATGTTTGAACAAAGTTTAGGGTTACTTTCCCCCTTTTTCTTAACAATATCCAAAGAAAGCTTAATTTGATATCAGCCTAGAATCACCAATTCCTTTATTTAACTATCTTATCAATACTTTTTACTAGGAGTCTTTTCCATTTACATATTTTTTGTTCTGACTATAGGCCTTCTTTGCTGCTTTATGAGCCTTATTCTCTTGGTGCTCATCCCTCTCAACTCTACTCTAACTCGATCATCATCAAAATCCCTTTTGAACAAAAGATGCTCTTATGGTAAGAAATCACGGTTCTTGATGGGCAGATAGCAGCAGTAAACCTCAGAATTTGTGTGACATCACTATATCCCATCCTAAAATTTCCTTATGACTCGACTCCATTTTGAATAAGTTTTACCTTGGCACCTATCCTGAGACCTAGTAGAAAGGTAAAAGACAGGATAATGTGATTTTAAAGTTGTATAGGTATCAGGTGAACAAAACTAATTAGTCGTGTAAGTGTTCGTGCTGAAAGTGTGAATGCGGGAGAATAATAGGAAACGGGGTAGTGGAGCGAGCAAACACAAAAGAACCTGCTGTAGTTGTTTAGCTAAAGTTAAGGCACAAATGAATAGGACGCTAGAGAGTTTCAACGCCGACAGACAGCATTGATTTGATGTCTGCAATGGTAGCTTCAGTTATGCCCATTAATACGTTCCTTAATTTCATTATTTTAATTGTATTAAGACGAGACAACATTGTTTTCCACTTTTAGCTTACTCACATACTCAAAAATTTGACTTTATTTCGAAGAATCACCATCATTCCAATTCCGAATCGCAAATGTCGAGTGGCATCAATTTTGCATCAGAAAAAGATCTTTCAACGGCATATTTGCGCTCTTTCTCAGAGAATAAGCGTGGCCATCACTTGGAGGAGGAGTCAAATCAAACAAAACGCTTGCCAGCCAACATTAGACTAGATGACCAAATGTATCAGCTTTTTCTTGGGCTACCACTTGATACGCGCCAACTTTTGTCTGCATCTGCTGGTGTATTCGCCACCCTCACGATGATTCGCTTTGTCCTATCTGATTGGATGCCTGTCTGGCTTTTTCAGCTTGATTCCACTAGGAAGGCATGTAAGCGCTGCAGGATATAATCCTTAAAGTTATTTCTTCGTATATTTTTCACTCCTATGATACACTGCGAAATATGCTGATCATATTACTTATTTTGTTCGTTTAATGCATCAAACCCACCCATCATAAATTTGTCTTCTCTGTTTACTTTTTTCATGATATATTGAATTGATCTACATTTTCAAGAAATATAGTTTATTTACCTATATTTAAGTACAATAAAACGCTTAACTTAACGACATACCTCTTACATTCGCCTCTTACTCAAAAATATATTGATTATGATGATATGCTTGTTGATAGCTGCTCACCTTTAGTTCGTATTGATTGGAACGTTATTCATTATGATAATAACCAGATCTCACCATGTGTCTTTATACTGGTGTCAGCATCTTCGAGTTTTCGTAAATGACTTTAACTCCAGTTTCAGATTAAAGTAAACTTCCGAACTACCATAGGTCTTGAGTAAGAGCTGTATTTACCTCAAGGTGATGAAGGACGGATAGTTGAATTTTCCCACAATGACTGAGTGACAGAGCAGACGCTAATTTTCAAGAAAACCAGACCTCATCCATATCACCTTTTGGTGAGATTATCGTTGAAACAGACTTACATTTTCTATTACAATCGAATACATTGCTCATATTAGGATTGAGTAGGTTTTTAAATGTGGTTACGTGAGGCCTGGCTTGCGTTGAAGTTTATTGCTCTGTAACCCACTGGCGGTGTGACGTGGTAGCATGTCGAAATTATAATCTACACTACCTGAGTTCGATTCCCATTGGTGGT